AAACAACAGACAAACAAACAAACAGACAAACAGACAAACAAACAAACAAACAACAAACAGACAAACAAACAGACAAACGCCGGCAAAAACATAACCTCCTTGGCGGAGGTAATAATTTTATTGGTTTTAAATATGGATGTTTTATCTATAAAGTTTTGCATGGACTTGCCCCTCCTCTGTTACAGGATTTTATTAAAGTAAAGACTGTCAGTGGGATGAGAACTAGGGCCACAGCCCGGGGGAACTGTGAGGTCCACACAGACACTCCACATTCGGACAATGTGTGTCTCAGTCAGAGGCCCAAAATTTTGGAACAGTCTGTCTCTATCAACAAGAGAAACTCCAACACTTGCCACTTTCAAGTCCTACTTGAAACAGTGGCTAAAGGAAAAACAGACTTGTGGACACTTTTAGTGTACATCTGTTACTGGTTTTTGTTTTTTCTGTTAAATTTGTGGTGTCACCTGCCGAGGGACTACAGATGGAAATGAGCATTCCTGCTATAATCTGGCATATTTACACTGCAATGTTGTAGATCTTAATTAATATGCACTGTCCCTATTAAATAAATAAATAAGCCATCACAGATATCTGTTCCTAATAACAGCCAGGGGAAGTAGAATGGGGCTCAAAATCAGAGCTGGAGCTGCCCACATGAGGCCGGGGGGGTGGATTCTGTGCAGGTACACCGGTGAGAAAATACTTTTGGTATATATCATTTCATTTACTGTAAATCCCTTCTTCGTTTATGTCCTTCACCAGAAATGAAATGTTGACAGCACAGACGACTGAACTCAGTGGGCTCCATCCCTCCCTTTTATGTCCGCTATCCACCTCTGTCTCGATCTTTATCAGCCGGGATCCGATAGAAAGATACTGTGGTCTCCTTCTTTAGCAGATTGACTCCGGACAGAACATCCAGCAGAAACGCAGGTCAAACCATTGTTATTCAATTCAAATTTTATCACACACCAATACTACACGTTTGTCCAGATGGATAGTTTGAGTCCAATATGGCGGCATCAACGCCAGGTCACGTGGTTTTGTGATGTAGATGCAAAACCTTAATAGCGCAAATAGTCCCTGCGCACACTCTGACAATGAGAGCGCCACTGCCAACTACTGTAGTGGATGTGCAATTACACTTTATTCTAGTACACCAAAACAAAAAAAAGGCACACCCCATAAGCAGGTGAACCCCAACCAAAAAAGTTACACAGTGCACCTTCAACCCGCTCTACATGATCCTGGTGTTTTTATTTCGCTATGTTGTCCGTAAATCATTCCTGTTCCTAAACTAGAACTCAACTCCAAGTTTGCTCGTGTAACTGCTACACTCGGTGAGCTTCATTTGACTGGAGCTGAACGCTGTGGTGTTGTCCGCTTCTTCGTACGGTCTACGGGAGCGAGTCAAAAGTCAGGGATCAGTATCAGTGTGGAAAATCCCTGTTGTTGTCGTGGTGATGTTCTCTCTTGTGTCCAGTGACCTTCATCGTGTGAAGAGGAGGCTTTCAGATCACAGAGAGAGAAAGAAAGAAAGAGAGAGAGGAGAGAGGAGAGCTGTGCATGATTCTGGACCAGGTGAGATGCTGGTGGCTCGCTCCAGGCTTTATCTGACTGGACTCTTCAATAGACTCTGTACGGGAACATAAGGGCACTCTGCATATATAGATAATTTACTCACAAACTAGACATATAATATTAGACAAGAAATCATCTCTATGAAAAATATTGATACTTTGCAGGTGATATCGTCAACGTCGCTTGGGGGTGTGAAGGAACTGAAAGCACTGAAGCTCTGTTACTCAAGTTAGGCATAAGTAAAGGTGCATTGTGTAACTTTTCTGGTGCAGGGTCCGTCAAATGTTTTTCTTCATGGAGATGTTATTGCTTTGTCTGGAATATTTCACAGTAAGGTATTAAAATTTTCTATCTTCACAGGGACCAAACCAGACAAAGTTACAGGTTAGATCTGTGGAGAGGCGACCTCATTCACAGTTAGAATGTCTAGGTATTTTTGAGCTATAAAACCCCCTGTAACTGAATAAATGTCAGATCAGTGACATCTCCAGAGAGAAAAGCATCTGACGGACCCTCCACCAGAAATGTTACATAGTACACCTTTAATCTGAGCTTTATTTTAACACAATCGCACCAGAGAGAGCTGACTTGTGCACACCTCCCCCAGCTCTTTGGGGAACCCCAAGGTGTTCCCAGGCCAGCCCAGAGACATAGGCTGCGTTCAGACTGCAGCCTGAAGTGACCCAGATCAGATTTTTTGGCCCCTATGTTCCTGTATCTGATCTTTTAATGACAGTCTGAACCACACAGATCAGATTTTTTCAAATGTGACCCAGGACACTTGGATATGTGCTCCTAAAACTGATACATATCTGATCTTTTGACATGCGACTTCAGTCTGAACGGCCAAAGCGCATTCATCCACCTACACGTTATCAACAAGCCACAAACGTCACTATTCTGCGCTGAAGTAGGCGAAAATTGTTAATGAACTCCGTGTCACTGAAGTGAAGCACATCACCACTCACCACTCTTTGCTACGTCTCCACATCCACACGTTCCTTTCAATGGACATTGCTGCCGCTGTCCCACAAAACGCCACGACCAAAAACCTCGTCCTTCTCCTTCTCAGTCTCCTCCTTAAAACAAATAAGTTGTTCATGTTCTGGTTCCGGTACGAGAGGAACTTTAAAATCTCCAGGTGCTCAATGCTCGTGTCCATGTTTGGACAACTTCTGTAAACACAGAGCACGCTCGCTGCGGTTGACGTCATCGTGTCTCCAGTGCACATGCAGGACACTTTCAGGCTGTTTACTGTTCACACTGGAGTCACACACAAGTCACATTTAATTAGAAATGTGAACGACCTCGCAAAAACATCGGATTTCACAAAAAAATCAGAATTGAGCGTTAAGCCCTGCTGTCTGAACGTAGCCTTAGTGCCTCCAGTGTGTCCTGGGTCTTACCTGGAGCCTGATCCCTGTGGGACGTGCCTGGAACACCTGCCCAGGGAGACGTCTGGTTTGGGGACCACAGGATCATCTCTGCTGTTCACAGATGATGTTCTCCTGATGTCTCCATTGAACCAGGACCTTCAACATGCACTGGGGCGGTTTGCAGCCGAAAGTGAAGTGGCTGGGATGATCAGTTCCTCCAAATCCGAGGCCGTGGTTCTCAACCAGAAAAACGTGGCTTGCCCTCTTCATGTGGTTGGGGAATCTCTGCCTCAAGCGGAAGAGTTCTAGTATCTCGAGCCTCCTGAAAATGTGTTGTGTAAATGCATTTTGTATTTTTTGTAGTTTTCATCTTAAAACTTTTTGGGCTGTTACCCTGGTAACTACTGAACATTCCACCAACAGAGATACACATAGAAAACCCCCAGCGTGATGTCACCGCAAAGTATCAATAAACATAACATGTACATTGTTGAGGAATTGGTTGTTTTTTAACCGCCGGTGTCAGTGAGCTTCATTTGACTGAAGCAGAATGCTGAGTGACGTCACACTCTCTCTGTCCACTTCTTCACACAGTCTATATTTCAACACATAATAATACTGCATAATAGAGTCATTACACTTTATGGCTTGTAGTCGTTGAAAACATGTTTGTGTACACCAGGTTTACATCATTTATCAGCTTAACGTCAGGAAATAACCTTTTTCCAACATTATCATGGGTGCGCTACCTACTTGTCTCCATGGAGATGTGACTTACTTTGCCTGGAATGTTCCGTGATATAACTTTAAACACATCCATCTAGCATTTGGGTCTGGTCAAGTGGTAACGGAGGGAAACAGGGGCAGATTTTTGACATTCAAATGTCTCTTATTCAGAAACTAGAGGGACTATTGAAATAAGTAAAGTATCAGAATGTAGGAAAGAGTTACACTCCAACAGGGTCAAGTTAAACCTGTGATATTCTTTCAAGTTGTTGACAAAAAAAAACAAAAAAAAACTCATGTCGATAATGAAGGGAATGAAATATGCAGCACTTTTTGGGCAATAAATCCAAACAGTGATAACTCTTGGTTCTCACTTACATATCCTTAACAAACTGGTTTGAATATTTGCTTCATATAGTTTTCTACCATATGGTACAAGATTAGGTTGAAAAACCTCTTACTTTTTGAGTCATGAGATTTTTTATTAAGAAAGGTCAATGGTAACGGAGGGAAAAGTAACGGAGGGAAAATTGTACAAACAAGTAAAAGGTGCAGGATTTTGCATCATTTGTCAACTTTTTTCTTCTGAATACTTTAATATTACTTCAAAGTGAAAGGAAACTATTTCTATAAAATATGTCAGTCCTTCCAAGCTAATTTTTATCATTTGAAATAATTTTTTTTGAAAAATCATGTACCTTCATCAACAGTTCAAAGATGGAATAACACAAGATATGATGAAATACATCCATTTATTTACATGATTTGCAGGTCTTTGAAATTTGGGAAATAATTTTTGTTCCATGTTTCATACATGGTCTGTTTAAAACGTATGTAACTTTAGAACCAAAAATGGTACAGAAAAAAGGTCAACAGTTTCATAAACTAGAGTACATATGTATCTGTTCAATACATTTTTATATCAGACGCATTAACTTGAATTTTTGGCCTTGTGTTTACTTCTGCTTGACCGGGCCCATTTATTTATTATTTATTACATTTTCTATCACTTAGATAATACAATTTGTGCATGTGTTTATGTGTGTGTGCTTTTGTGAGTGCATGAGTGCTTTTTAAATTTTTTTTTTTCTTTTTTGTCTATTTTTTCTTATAATGTGAAAATTAAAAGAAATAAAGTAAATAAATAATTAAAAATAGTTCCTTCTGTGACTGTAATGTAGCGCAGTGCTGTAACCTCCCTATAGTGGAACATTCAAGACAAAGCAACAACATTTCTATGGACACAAGCAAGCGACGGACCCTCCACGGGAAATGTTCCGCAGTGCCCCTTTAACACGGCGACGCGCGAGCTTCATTTTACGCTATTGTCACGATCTCTTTCCCGGTTTGGACCTTGGAGCAGCCCGTCAAGCCCACCATGGTCTCATCGGTGCCGTTCCCGTTACAATCTGTGATGATTTTACTTTCCCTCATCCTTCCATTCCTGTTTTTCCTCTCCGAATAGCCACCGCCGTCCTCCTCCTCCTCCTCTTCCTCCCCCACAGCAGAAGCAGAAGCAGCAGCCCTGGTTCTGCTTCCTGGCGCCGACCGGCTCTCTTCTGGTGGAGCGCTGGAAGATGAAGTAGATGAAGGGGTTGTAGGCAGTGGAGCTCTTGGCGAAAAGGCAGGGCAGCAGGGTGACGAAGGGGCTGAGGAGGTGCTGGGAGCGAGCGTGGTGCATGCTCCAGTAGCTCACGGCGACGTAGGGGGTCCACGCGATCAAGAAGCCCAAAGAGATCATCACAGCCATCTTAAGACAAGGATGAAAGGGACAGAGAAGAAAGGAAGACAGAAAGGAAGGAGGGGGGTTAGAAAAAATGTGTGTGTAGCCTTGAGGTCCTGTATATGCTCTTATATAATAGAACCTGCTAATGTGTGATTACTGTCATTAAGGTCACAACAGGGCTACAATAAAAGGGCCCATATCACGCTATCCTCTGATCTCTGTTCTAATTCTCACCTACCCCGTCATGATTTTCTGAAAAAAAGTTTTAATAAGTACACATTTTGCAACAGTGAAATAGAAACTGTTAAACATTTGTTTTTTTATTGTTGTCATATTAGAATGTTTTGGGATTTCAAATGTGGATGTGGAATATGATACAGATTTACCTCATGTCTCCTATCAGGATGTAAAATATGGAGTCATTTTGCAAGACAACAAAAAAGAGATTTTCTCTAATTGATTCATAAATGCAAATTCTCAAATATTAAACCCTTGTTCAAAATCTTAATGATTTTTTGGAATTTAAGAGCTTTGTGCCAAATCCAAACAAGCTGTTATAATGAACAATGTTATGCTGTCAGATGTATAAGATCTCTTACATTGTATTTGTATTGTTTTAATAAATTGTATTATTGTAAAAAAAAAAAAAAAAAAAAAACTGAGTCAAAAAATGTGCACTTTTGACATTGTTGAACAATGTATTTTAATTAATTAATTAATTAATCATTGCATTTATATAGCGCCTTTCAAAATATCCATTGTTCATTGACTCAACACTCAGTGGTGGTAAATTACTACTGTAGCCACAGATGCCCTGGGGCAGACTGACAGAAGCGAGGCTGCCAATCTTTCATACTAGGCAATGAAGTGTCTTGCCTAAAGACACAATGATGGTTTTTGCCACTGGCGCCCCCCTGTGGCACCTGGAATTCCCAGTGGTCTCCCATCCAAGTACTGAGGTACCAGCACTGATTTATAATGAAGAGAAAAAGAAAAAAGAAAAAGCTGTTTCTTTGTCACAAACAGACCTGGAGTTGTGTTTTGTTTCACTCACACATGTTTAACACACAAACCTGCACATTTAGACTGAGTTCTTCTCTCAAACTGAAAACTTCTGTCCACTTTGTGATGTCATGTGGAAATACAGGAAGTGATCCACTGTGTTTTTAAACTCCACCCACCTTCACTAGAATCATTTCATCCCTGAAATTGCCAGTCGATAATAAAAACTGAATAAGGCATTCCCCCTGTGTCCTGGCTCAAGACTGACTACTGGCTGCTCTGATTGGTCCAAACGCTCCACGCCGTGCATGTTACAGACATCACCCGTACTGAGGAAGTAAATGAGGAAGAGAAAATTATTTTTGGGCCCATGTGCCAATGAGCACAGGACATTGAAAACAACACGACGACATCTTAGGGTCACCTTCAAGATTTTTATGATAGTTCTGTCATCTCTACTGAGCAAAACGTTTACAGAAGATGTTAACTTAAAAACAGAGAACTGGAACAGAGCATTTAGAGCTTTGGAGATGTAGACAGACTAATAATAAAGAATTACTCAAACATGAGTCCATGTCTGTTTTTGATTTGTTCATTTTGTTTAATAGGACCTTTGAAGAATATTTAGGATTTCACAGTGGTTTGGTTATGGTTTCATTATTTGTTAAATTGTATAATTCAGAAAGAATGAATAGAAAAAAAAAAAAAAAAGACTTGGTAAAAAAAAAACAAAAAAAAAAAAAACATCACTTTTTTTTTTTTTATTCATTAGGAAGTTAAGATATTCTCCCTTTCCTATACAGCTGTTGTTATTGCAGTATTGTCACAGTATAATCACAGTTGTCACAGTTCTTCTGAAAATACTTTCTCACTTACACACTACACGAGTCCATAAGCTCCCATAATGTCCCAGAGCATTACTTTACATTCTTGGACATGAATGGATGTATTGTGTTGGTAACATGTCTGGAGTCTTTTATAACAGCGCCGGAGTCATAACAGTGGGTTACCATGGCGATACACCTTGGTCCCAGCAGGTCATTGTTCTGCTTTAATGCCTTACTGCGTCCGGCGCGGAGGTTCAGGTGGAGCGTCGTGTCGGCTTTTGTTTATCTCATGACCTCACCCCCCCCCAGCGCTTTATCTGTGTTCTGTTTTATTTAGTGAATGTTTCAGTTCAGAGGCTTCGTAAACAACAAGTCGTTTCTATTACAGAACGACTCAAGGATGTACTTAAAGGTCTAAATGTACTCTCTGATAATACTCCCTACAACTATACAAATCACCCTTATGTAACAGATAATACTCCCTACAGCTGTACAACAACTCACCCTTATGTAACAGATAATACTCCCTACAACTGTACAACAACTCACCCTTATGTAACAGATAATACTCCCTACAACTGTACAACAACTCACCCTTATGTAACAGATAATACTCCCTACAACTGTACAACAACTCACCCTTATGTAACAGATAATACTCCTACAACTGTACAACTCACCTTTATGTAACAGATAATACTCCCTACAACACACTCACCTTATGTAACAGATAATACTCCCAGCTGTACAACAACTCACCTTTATGTAACAGATAATACTCCTACAACTGTACAACAACTCACCCTTATGTAACAGATAATACTCCCTACAACTGTACAACAACTCACCCTTATGTAACAGATAATACTCCCTACAACTGTACAACTCACCTTTATGTAACAGATAATACTCCCTACAACTGTACAACAACTCACCCTTATGTAACAGATAATACTCCCTACAACTGTACAACTCACCTTTATGTAACAGATAATACTCCCTAAAACTGTAAAACAGCTCACTCTCATGTAACAGATAATACTCCCTACAACTGTACAACAACTCACCCTTATGGAACAGATAATACTCCCTACAACTGTAAAACAACTCACCCTCATGCAACAGATAATACTCCCTACAACTGTACAACAACTCACCTTTATGTAATAGATAATACTCCCTACAACTGTACAACAACTCACCCTTATGTAACTGTGTGGCTCAATAAGGTTTGTCTAAGTCTAAATAAAAAATAAAAAAAGTGTTTTAATTGCACAGATAAACCTGTGTCCTTACTGTGAGCGTGCTTGCATCTCCACAAACCTGACTCTTATTTGGCCTGTAGGGCCTTCTCCTGCTTGTTTAAAAAGAAATGTTTCTTTGACTATAATATTCCAGAGTATATTTATCTCCTTGAAGAATGTTCCCAAGTATGGTTTTAACTTTCTGTTTCCATGGAGCCGTGAGCCAGGTTACATACTGTAGCTTTAAAAGAGACATATTAAGCAAAATCTACTTTACAATTGGGTTAAAGTTGTCCCCCCCCAATTGTATTTATGCTGTGTAAATTAACATATTTATTTATTGGCTTTATTACACATAAAGCAGTGCTGTAAACAGACTGAAAGATGTATTCTGTAACTTTTCTGGTGAAGGCTCCATTAAATGCTTTTCTCCATGGTGATGTTATTGCTTTGTCTGGAATGTTTCACAGTATGGCATTAAACCTTTCTATCTCCTTGGGAACCAAACCAGAGCAAGTTACAGGTCAGATCTGTGGAGAGGCGACCCCACTCACAGTCAGAATGTCTGTTTTTCTGTTTTTTGTAGTTGTTGTTGTTGTTGTTTTTTGACCTGTAAAACCACCTGTAATTGAATAAATGTAAAGTAAAGCGGTTTAATGTCACACTTTGGAATATTCCAGGCAGAGCTATGACATCTCTGTAGAAACAAAAAAGTGGCCCCCAACCAAAAAGTTACACAATATACCTTTAAGCCAATTATTTACCAAATCTTTAAAACTGTAAAACAGAATATAAGACATTTCACAAGCACGGAACACTTTGCTTCTCTAACTCACACAGAAAAACCCTGTAAAAAGTTTGTTGAATCTTGTAAAGAAAATGTTTGTTTTAGTTACAGTTTTTTTTTTGACGGGTGTTGGCGGGCGTTGGAGGGCGTTGGAGGGCGTTCTAATGTTCTGAACAGCAATTGGACAATAACAAACTGTTTACTTCATCTGAGGACGCATACAAGTCAGAGTTAAAAGTGCACCGTGGAACTTTTTTGGTAAAGAGTTATTTGATATGATCTCGCGGGGCAAATATAATTATATTGCGGGCCAAATTTGACCCCTGGGCCTGAGTCTGACAGGTCTGATCTAACAACTTACAGGGTTCCCGCTCTTTTTCACTGACAAAATTTCAAAACTTTTCCACTACTTTTTCATGAGCTAAAGTGAATTTTCCACGACTTTACGACACCTCCATGTGTAGAACTGATCAGACTTTTAGGGCTAAATATGAAATGTGAACTCTTTTCACTCACCTTATGGTTTGGGATTATAGTTTTGGAACATTCAAAATCCTGCATTTACAGTGGTCCCTCGTTTAGTGCAGGGGTTACCTTTTAAAAAATAACCTGTGATAGGTGAAATCAGTGAAGTAGTCAACTTTATATTTTATAATCACCACACACTTTATACACTTTTCTCAGACGTATTGCTGCTGTCGTCCTTTTGTCATTTTCCTCCGTCTTTATGTAACGAACCAATGATTCATTAATTCCGTAAGGGAGCCTACAGTGCAGAGACCCACACGGATCCATTTTTAGGGACTCGCACCCGCGCAGGACAGTACAGCACCGCACCCGCCCGCACCTGCCCGCACCCGCCTGTTCACCCGAGATAATATCAAACTGTGGCACTGCATACGCCATGGACTAAACCAGTGCTTCTCAATTATTTTCTGTCATGCCCCCCTAAGAAGAATAAAACATCTCGCGCCCCCCCCCCCGCGTGACTATAAATAGTATCATTTGTCTATAAAACTGTTATAAGTACACCTCTGCATAACACTGTATCCTTATTAACGTATAAGAGAATAAAAGTACTGAAGTAGCAGTCACAAGCGGGATGATTGTCGGCAATATTCGGCACGTTTTCGCTGAAAAAATCTCAAGCGGCTTTATCAGAGT